GCCCTGTAGCATCATAGCATTGGGGCACAGTGTTGGGTGGCCTCTGGAGCAGGCATGGGCAAACTTGAGCCTTCCCTGTGGGTGTTTTGAACTTCAGCTCCCACAATTCCTGGACTCAGGCCCTATCCTTTTCCCCCTCAGCTGCTTAAGCAGCTGAGGGGGAAAAGGAAAGGGCCAGAGGCCAGGAATTGTGGGAGTTGAAATCCAAAACACCTGGAGGGAGGGCCCAAATTTGCCCATGCCTGCTCTGGAACATTGCTGCTGTGGATTAAGCCCAGAGAATGAATGCAATCCTCTTGCTGAGCTTTGTATCCGTTGTCGAGATTTCTGTTGCTTTGAGAGGGATTCCCATTGCCCTGACTTTTTAGCACCATTTAGAATTTCCTCATTTTTGGCATATTAACCACCGAGATTCCTATTCGGTGCTTAATATACATTCCTCCACTGCATGCCATACGAGAAGGCATATGAGGAGATATGATAGCCATACGAGAAGGCATGCAGTGGGGGGACAGGAACAGAATTCAAAACGATCTTGACAGATTAGAGAGATGGGCCAAAACTAACAAAATGAAGTTCAACAGGGACAAATGCAAGACACTCCACTTAGGCAGAAAAAAAGAAATGCAAAGATACAGAATGGGGGACAATGCCTGGCTCGAGAGCAGTACGTGTGAAAAAGATCTTGGAGTCCTCGTGGACAACAAGTTAAACATGAGCCAACAATGTGATGTGGCGGCAAAAAAAGCCAATGGGATTTTGGCCTGCATCAATAGGAACATAGTGTCTAGATCAGTGATGGGCAACCTTTTGAGCTTGGTGTGTCAAAATTTGCCAAAAACCTGAGCATAACTTGGGTGAGGTGTCAACTTCGAGGAAAAAAAACCCACATAATTTTGCAATATTTATAGTTTAAATTAGAAAAATGTATATTCCATGCTGAGTTATGGAGTGAACAATGCTCAAATGTGCAGATGTTAAATTTGTAGAGCCTTTTACAAATTTAAGGATGGAATTAGATTGGCTCTTATAAGGTGTATTTCTCTGTGGCCGCGTGTCATCAAAAATAGCCATGAGTGTCAGTGCTGACACGCATGTCATAGGTTCACCATCACGGGTCTAGATCTAGGGAAGTAATGCTACCCCTCTATTCTGCTTTGGTGAGACCACACCTGGAATATTGTGTCCAATTCTGGGCACCACAATTCAAGAGAGATATTGACAAGCTGGAATGTGTCCAGAGGAGGGCACTAAAATGATCAAGGGTCTGGAGAACAAGCCCTATGAGGAGCGGCTTAAGGAGCTGGGCATGTTTAGCCTGAAGAAGAGAAGACTGAGAGGAGACATGATAGCCATGTATAAATATGTGAGAGGAAGCCACAGGGAGGAGGGAGCAAGCTTGGTTTTTTCTACTTCACTCCAGACTAGGACGTGAAAAATGGCTTCAAACTACAAGAAAGGAGATTCCATCTGAACATGAGGAAGAACTTCCTGACTGTGAGAGCCGTTCAGCAGTGGAACTCTCTGCCCCAGAGTGTGGTGGAGGCTCCTTTTTTTGGAGGCTTTTAAACAGAGGCTGGATGGCCATCTGTCAGGGGTGATTTGAATGCAATATCTGCTTCTTGGCAGGGGGTTGGTTGGACTGGATGACCCATGAGGTCTCTTCCAACTCTTTGATTCTATGATTCTAAGGGTTTTCAAAACCTCCAGTATGCATGACAGCTCAGTCCCAAAGCAGTATGGTGTGGGTGATCTTTTACAATGGCCTCCACGCTTCAATCTGCCAGATTTCTGGATTGTGGGTGTCTGCATGCCTTCGGAATATTGTCATATTCCAGAGTTCCAGAATAGCAGCTAATCATTGCTACCCTGGGCATTCCATTCTAAAGAGATGGGGAGGAACGTGATCTGTGGATGCCTGCTTCGTCTCTTGAGAATGAGACATAATCTCAGCGTGATGCATTTTGCTTGGAAGGTTTAGCAACACGTGTACAGGTCAAATGCCCATGGAAAATGGAGATGGCCCATCCAGGTCGAAGAGCATCACATGAGACTTCAGCTCCGGAAGGCCAACTTCGAACAGCATTTCGGTTTCAGAGCAACTCTCAGAAATGACATTTCGTTCCATGAATTCCTCTTTCTGATTTCACAATCAAGAAGGAATTCCACCATTAGATCAGAAATGGCAACAATTGGCAGAGAAGAAACAGAAAGCGAAGAGAAACAGTAACAAGAAGTGTTGAAATTGATAGTCTTCTTATTACTGAGTCCATCTCTGTTCCCAAATAATAGCACCAGGGAATGCTACGTCAACCCTGTTTCAGCCTCTGCCACCCAATCATTTGGAGATTAATTCCATTCCTGCAATCGAGGATGGATGGACTCACAGGTGGAGACCCATACATACAGTAAAGTCTCGCTTATCCAACCTTTGCTCATCCAATGTTCTGTATTATCCAACGCAATCTGCCTCCCGCCCGGATCCACAGTTGTTTCAATACATTGCGATGGTTTGTTGCTAAATTCGTAAATACAGTAATTACTACATAACGTTACTATGTATTGAACTGCTTTCTAAGTCAATTTGTTGTAAAACATGATGTTTTGGTGCTTAATTTGGAAAACTATAACTAGCCGTCCCCTGCCACGCATTGCTGTGGCCCACATGGGGTGTCTATGTGGGAGGTTTGGCCCAATTCTATCATTGGTGGGGTTCAGAATGCTCTGTGATTGTAGGTGAACTATAAATCCCAGCACCTACAACTCCCGAATGTCAAGATTCTATTTTCCCCAAACTCTACCAGTGTTCACATTTGGGCATATTGAGTATTTGTGTAGAGTTTGGTCCAGATCCATCATTATTTGAGTCCACAGTGATCTCTGGATGTAGGTGAACTACAACTCCAAAACCAAAGGGCACTGCCCACCAAACCCTTCCAGTATTTTCTGTTGGTCTTGGGAGAACTGTGTGCCAAGTTTGGTTCAATTCCATCATTGGTGGGGTTCAGAATGCTCTTTGATTGTAGGTGAACTATAAATCCCAGCAACTACAACTCCCAAATGTCAAGATTCTATTTTCCCCAAACTCCACCAGTGTTCACATTTGGGCATATTGAGTATTTGTGTAGAGTTTGGTCCAGATCCATCATTGTTTGAGTCCGCAGTGATCTCTGGATGTAGGTGAACTACAACTCCAAAACCAAAGGACACTGCCCACCAAACCCTTCCAGTATTTTCTGTTGGTCTTGGGAGAACTGTGTGCCAAGTTTGGTTCAATTCCATCGTTGGTGGGGTTCAGAATGCTCTTTGATTGTAGGTGAACTATAAATCCCAGCAACTACAACTCCCAAATGACAAAATCAATTTTTTTTAGTGAAGGACATACATTGGGTTGTTAGGTGTCTTGTGTCCAAATTTGGTGTCAATTCGTCCAGTGGTTTTTGAGTTCTGTTAATCCCACAAACGAACATTACGTTTTTATTTATATAGATTTAATGTTTAATGGCCGTTTCCTTCATCTCTCCTTATTATCCAACATTTTTGCTTATCCAACATTCTGCCGGCACCTTTATGTTGGATGAGCGAGACTCTACTGTACATCATTTCCACCAAACTCCTCGTGCATTGCAAACCCAAAGGCAACTTCACACTAGCATAACTGCTCTTTGCATTGAAACTAATCTGCCACACGGGCAGGGATTTCACAGAGCTGCTCTAGTGCATGCTTATTGCTCACCAACTAGGCTTTCAAGTGTACTTTGCTGCCCGAAAGGTAGACAATTCAACATGTGCATTTGGCCTGGTTCCTGACTTAGTGCTGCTGTTTAGGAAGACGAGCGGGATCATTAAAACCCCTCCCAATTGATTTATTGCAGCATTGGTGCAGCACTCGAAGCACCTTTATTATTTATTTATTTACTTATTTATTTATTATTCGAACTTATATGCCGCCACTCCCCTGGGGCTCGGGGCGGCTTACAAGAACAAGCTAAAATCGAACACAATTTAAAAACAATTTAAAAACAATATCAGAGATCAAAGGCCCGTCGAAACAGATATGTCTTACATGCCCTGCGGAAAGCTGATAAGTCCCGCAAGGCACGGACTTCAGGTGGCAGACTATTCCAGAGTGATGGTGCCACTGCTGTGAAGGCTCTGCGTCTGGTTGCTGTTAGACGCAAGGTCTTGACACTGGGAATTTCCAATAGATCTTGGTCCTCAGAACGGAGGGATCTCTGGGGTTGGTAGGGGGTGAGGTGGTCCCTCAGGTACATCGGCCCCAGACCATGCAAGGCCTTAAAGGTGAGTACCATCACTTTGAAAGTGATCCGGTGCTCAATTGGTAACCAATGCAGCTGCAGTAAGATTGGTGTTATGTGGCATCTCATCGGAACTCCCGCAAGAAGCCGAGCAGCTGCATTTTGTACCAACTTGAGCTTCCGGATCACCGACAGAGGAAGGCCAATGTAGAAGGCGTTACAGTAGTCCAGTCTTGAGATGACCGTAGCCTGGATCACCATAGCTAGGTCATCCCTGGACAGGTAGGGGGCCAGACGTTTAGCCTGCCGCAGATGAAAAAAGGCAGTTCTGCTAACGGCGGAGACCTGGGCCTCCATCGTCAGCAGAGGTCCCAGACTCTTTACCAATGATGACGGGCGTAGCACCTCGCCATCCAGGGTAGGCAGCTGGATATCCCCACTGCCCGGTTGTCCCAGCCATAGGATCTCAGTCTTTGCCGGATTCATCCTCATCCTGCTGGCACGCAGCCTCGAGGCACTGATGGAAACAATCGGGTACAGAGTCCGGTCAGCCTTCCATCTTCAGCACAAGCTGAGTGTCATCAGCGTACTGGTAACACTCAAGCCCAAAACCTCGAACCAGCTGAGCAAGTGGTCGCATATAGATGTTAAACAACAGAGGGGAGAGAATGGCCCCCTGAGGAACCCCACAAGATAGAGGGGACCTCTCAGACACAAGGCCTCCCCTCTCCACTCGCTTAAAGGGAGGGCAAAGCAGAAGGAAAGCTTGTTCTGTGTTTGAGTTTCTTTCTTCTTTGAAATCATACCTAGTTTGAAACGTTGGGCTGTCTAGAGGGATTTTTAAGCCACCCTTTCTGCTTAGCGGTCAGGAGCTTTCCTAGCAAAGCCTCTTTGTCAAATTAAGCATTTCATTAACGGCTTCCTTCACATTTGAACCATCCTCCTCCTCCGCCCACCTTTTCAGGCTGGAAGCTGGACCTCGAAGCCAAGGCCGAAGCATTAAGTAACGTCTCTACCTACGTTGAGCTATTTACCACCCTGTCGAGACACAGCTAACTTTAGTCGATTTAGTCACTTTTCAACAATTGTAGCAAGCCATCCAGTGGCTGGAAATAATCTATATATTACCGGGCAGGGAAAGGGAGGGGAAGCAGTAGTGTCAAAGCAACATAGAGTTATACGCAGTTGGCTTCGAGATGAATTCAACTCCTCCTCCTTCTCCTTTTTCTGTGGTGGACTGCTTTGATTCATCCAGTCTGCAAAAGGAATTTCAAGTCTTATTAGGTAAGCTTTGGAATCCACCAAGTTCAGCGACTCGCCGAAGATTTGGTAAACAGACCTTCCTTGCAGCGGCCATGGACACATGTTTTGCCGGATTAGGTCGTGCTGGTTTTCCATAGTTGGCACCTACCTATGCATGAGTGGCAATGGCTGTCTTCCCAATTCGGATGGCCAGAGGCACCTGCTGCTCAGACCTTGGCAGTTTGATGTCATTCCCATGGCTTTTAGCCTTTGAGAGACCCGATTCCCCCATGTGCGAGTCTAATCTGTGTGGCTCTTGCCACGTCTTGTGGTCACGGGTCCCATAAGTCGATGACACGCTATCGGAAGACCTAAGGAGCCAGAGCAGGTGGCATTAACTCTTCTGTTGCATCTTGCTGGCGTAGAAGTCTCTGCAGGTCTGGCAGCAGCGCTGATACCACCTCATGTCCTGGCAGAGGTTCTTCTCTCGAATCACCCGGCAGTACACCGTCCACTGGTCTCCTGCGCATTTATAGGTCAGAGCCGCTTTGCATGCGCATGTTGTGGTTTTAGAGGGAAGACAGAATTTTGGAAGGAGAAAAAAACACAGTTAGTTATTTGCCTTGGAAAGCAGATGGAATTGCCATCACTGTAGCAAAAGCTAAGCAGCACCCAACAGAACATTTCAGATTTGTGAAGAGGTGAGGATTGTCTACACACAACTAGAGCAGTCCTCTGTCTAGCTTCCAAAGCCTTTCCCTATCTCTGTGGCCCAGATGGCTTTAACTCAGGCATGGGCAAACTTTGGCCCTCCAGGTGTTTTGGACTTCAACTTCCACAATTCCTAATAGCCGATAGGTTCAGTTCTGTTCAGGATTTTCATTAATGACTTCTATGAGTTGAAGTCCAAAGCACCTGGAGGGACAAAGTTTGCCCATGCCTGTTTTAACTGGAAATATGTGAGATGTGGGTTGTTGTAGGGTTTTTCGGGCTATATGATCATGGTCTAGAGGCATTCTCTCCTGACGTTTCGCCTGCATCTATGGCAAGCATCCTGAAAGTGTTCCAGCTTCTGTGCTGCACACAGATCGATCCAACATGCCATATGCTTGGCCCACTCTCTATGCAACAAATCAAATCCACTGGATCATGCACAGCAGCTACAAGAAAACACAGAGAACATGTGCCTGACAAGCTGAGACTTCTCACGTGCAATGATTTTTGTAATATTCCTACTGCTTTGGGTTTGCTTCCCAGGGGTGACCAATGAGAAGTCTCCAGAGCTCAGACTTACCAAGCCTTGGAGAGGTGATGGTGTTGACGTTGATCTTCTCATTGCAGGCTTCCTGGTGACACTGCCGATAGGCTGCAGGCTTGGAAAGGGTGGGACACTCGTTGCCGTGGCGGCCTGTGACCTTGTGCATGCACTGGACCACCCGGGACTGAAGGCCTTTGCCACAGGTTGAAGAACACTGGAGAAGAAGATGAGAGAAGGTGGTGAAGGAACATAGAGAAGACCATGAATGCAGGGATGGAGCTGTCTGGCTACAACTTCTCTTGTGTACGTATTTTCTTCCCATTTTCAGGGTACATCTACACCGGGCATGGGCAAACTTCAGCCTGCTCTCCAGGTGTTTTGGGAGTGCAACTCCCAGAATTCCTAAGAGCAAGCAAACTACTTTCCTACTTCCATTTTCCTACTTCCAACAGACCTCACTACCTCTGAGGATGCTTGCCATAGATGCAGGCGAAACGTCAGGAGAAAATGCTTCTAGACCATGGCCATATAGCCCAAAAAAACCTACAACAACCCAGCAAGTAAACTGGTTGGGATTTCTGGGAGTTGAAGTCCAAAACACCAGGAAGGCCAAAGTTTGTGCATGCCTGGTCTAGACTATAGAACAGTGGTTCCCAACCTGTGGTCCGTGGGCCACCTGTGGTCTGCAGGTAATAAAATATGGTCCACAGCCTCACTGTTACTACACCATTGCAAGTGCAACAAGAGCAAATGGTCTCATAAAACCCTCTTATAGTGCCGAGGCTTATTAAATATGGCTTTCTGTGGGCGAGCAGATGTCAACCAAAAACTGATTCGTAGCCCTTTTGGTACTAATATTGGAGAATGGTTCCTGGTCAAAATACCCATGATTTTTTTTTAAAAAAAAATGGTTGAGAACCACTGCTGTGGAACGAATGCAATTTCACACCACTTTAACTACCTTGGCTCAATACTTGGGGATCCTAGGAGTTATTGTGCTATTGTGTTATTGTACTGGCACAACAAAGCATTGCACAAGCAGTTCCTTGACAAAATTGAAGGAAGAGTTGATAAGGAGAAGACCTGGTTATGGCTCATGAATGGAACCCTGAAGAAGGAGAGAGAAAGGCTGATTCTTGCAACCCAGGAGCAAGCCATCAGAACCAATGCCATTAAGGCCAGGATTGAAAAATCAGCGGATGATCCAAAATGCAGACTGTACAAGGAAGTTGATGAAACCATGGACCATGTTGCAAGAAAATCGCACAGACGGACGACAAAGAAAGGCACAACTCTGTGGCCCAAATGATTCATTGGAACTTATGTCACAAGGACCACCTGCCAATATTAAAGAATTGGTGTGATCATAAACCTGCAAGGGTCGTGGAAAATGAACATGCAAAAATACTGTGGGACTTTCAAATCCAGGCGGTCAAAGTTTTGCAACACAATACACGATTGTGGGGGGGAAAAAGTCTGGATTATTGATGTCACCATACCAGGTGACAGTCGCATTGAGGAAAAACAACAGGAAAAACGCAGCCGTTATCAGAACCTCAAAACTGAATTGCAAAGGCTCTGGGATAAACCAGTACAGGTGGTCCCAGTGGTCATTGACACACTGGGTGCCGTGCCAAAAGATCTCAGCTGGCATTTGGAAACAATAAACATTGACAAAATCATATAATAATAAAAATACCTTACTTGGATCTGCGGACATCATTCGAAAATACATCACACAGTCCTAGACGCTTGGGAAGTGTTCGACTTGTGATTTTGTGATATGAAATCCAGCATATAGATCTCATTTGCTGTGACATACTTTTTTGTGTCAGTAAAACAACAATAATAATCCAGCATATAGATCTCATTTGCTGTGACATATTGTGTTTTTGTGTCAGCAAAATAATAATAATAATAATAATAATAATAATAATTATTATTATTATTATTATTATTATTATTATTATTATTTCTGATAGTACCCATGTCCTCATTAAAAAACCCTGGCAGAGTGACTTTATACTACCAAAATAGACATGCAAACCTTTTCGTAAGGATGTGAATGCACTGGCTTCGCTCTACCTGCTCCTCCATGCTCCAGGCGTGAAGTGCAGCTGTCGACAAACCCAGCAATAAATGGAGGATTTGCTCTGTCTATTTACCCCTTCCTCCACACACCTATTATTTTGGGCAGGTTTCAATTCCAGCTCTTGCCTTGTGTTTGCACCCAGGGGCGGCTCAACCCATTACGCAAAGTAAGCATTTGCAGTATAGTTGATTTTGCCCAGGGGCGCTCTTGAGGCGCTCTTGGGGGAAAATAGACCTTGACATATGCGAGTTGTAGTTACTGGGATGTATAGTTCACCTACAATCAAAGAGCATTCGGAACTCCACCAATGATGGAATTGAACCAAATATGGCACACAGAACTCCCACGACGAACAGAAAATATATATCAGTGATTGGTTGGGGGGGGGGGGGGCAAAATACTGTTTGCTTACCGTTGAAAATTACCTAGGGCCGCCTCTGTTTACACCCACCCCGCTGTTATCCTTTCTGTGCTCTCCATCGATCGAACACTCTGCTTCCTGATCTGCAGGTTGGAGGTCTAACATTCCTCAACATACGCATGGCTCCGACTTGGGGCAAAACCCACACCTATCCTTCTGGGTGGTCCTTTCAATACATACCTCATGCTCAACAATGCACAGACCTTCTTGAAATAATTTCCAGCTTCAGAAGGGCTTGACCTTTCTGTGCTCTCCATTGATCGAACACTCTGCTTCCTGATCTGCAGGTTGGAGGTCTAACATTCCTCAACATACGCATGGCTCCGACTTGGGGCAAAACCCACACCTATCCTTCTGGGTGGTCCTTTCAATACATACCTCATGCTCAACAATGCACAGACCTTCTTGAAATAATTTCCAGCTTCAGAAGGGCTTGACAAACATCCACACACATGCAAACTGTAAAGTCCCTGTCTGCAATCTGTGGAAGTCTTGCAATCATGCCGGATAAGGTGGCGCTATTTCTGGGCGCTATCTTTGCATCTGTTTACCCACCAAGCGGGCAGAGCATCCATCTTTTTCCACTGCTCCTGCCAGTTCTGCTCCTTAACACACAAAGAACCACCAAGTGCCTCCCCCCACCTCTTTATTTCCTCGCCTTGAGCTTAGTTTGATTGCTTCTCCTGGGAAACCAAGACCATCGCCTTAGCGATGCAATGCATCTTTCCAAGGCTGGGAAGACAGACAGACAGACGTTCGCATCTCTCTTTCCCAAATTGCCCGAATTTGGCAGTGAAAGAGACATCTGGCTTATTTTAAAGAGGCAGAAAAACCAACTTTGCTAGAAATAAATAACAAGATATAGACAAGCTTGCTAATGGAAGACAGTGGCCTGTATGGTGCTTTGAGAACTAGGAGGGAAACGAGATATGGAAGCACATATTGGGTATTCCATCGGAAATCGTTGGAATCGACTTCCACTGAAATCAACAACATTTGTTCTGTCGCGCGCTGGGCCTGTACAGAATTTCCTTTAAAATAGGACGTGCAACCTTTGGCCAGTGGGAAGCCAGGGGCCCCCAAAGAGAAGTTCTCAGGGATTTTCCAGAAGTGATGGTCTTTAGAGTCTTTGATCATGCAACAAAGTCTTTATTATGGAACAAACAACAAATCTTCAATGGTTCAAACAACACTAGGCTTTATCAGTCTAGTCCTCAATGGACTGGCACCTATCTTTGATTAATTAAACTTTCTCTGTAGGAAAAACCCTTTTTAACTTCTCCCAGGCTGACTAATCTAAGTCTTACTGATGTGGGTTCCGCTACCGGGTCGAACTGTGTCTCGAGCGCCGAGTGGACCTACCAGTAAGAGCAGTAGATTCTCCAGCTGGAGTTCTTTGGTCTTCCAAAACTGTTTACCCTCTGAAATTCCTCAAAGCTTTAGGGCTGCTTCCCTGGAAATCTTTGGATGCTCTTAAGACTGTTCTCCCCCGGAAAGTCTTAAGGGTTGAAGCTTTTGTACAGGAGAAGCTTGTACACGTCCTCTAAATTAGCTTTCCTTACTGAGACTAACTAAAAATGGCTCCCTTCCCTTCCCAATTGCCCTGAGCAAGGGGCGGAAACAAAACTTAACGATGATGGACAGGTGACTGGCCCTATGACCGCAACCAGAAACCCTGAAACCTTGGCCTGCAAGCAAACATTTGAAACAAAGCAAATAAAGCTGGAGCTTCTGGTACAGCCGTACCAGCACAACATTCCTTCCTCAATAAATATAGAATCAAAGAATTGGAAGAGACCATATGGGCCCGCCAATCTGCCATGAAGGGAAAGCACAATCAAAGCACCCTAGCCTCTTGTTCAAAGCCTCCAAGGAAGGATTCCAAGGAAGAAAGTTGAACAGCTTTTCTTACGGTCAAGAAGTTCTTCCTAATGTTCAATGGAATCGCTTTTCCTGTCATTTGAACCCATGGCTCCATTGAGTCCCAGTTACCAAGGCAGAGAAAGCAAGCCTGTTTCCTTTTCATTATGATCTCCTTTCACATATTTCTACATGGCAATCATGTCTCCTCTCGACCTTCTCTTCTGCAGGCTAAATATGTTCCATGTATATGGCTGATCATACAGTAAATTTGCATCTCCTTTCTACCTTGAACCCACAGGCTGAGAAGTACACATTCAAAAGCTGACACTTGATGCACAGGTGTCGGTGGTGGCCGGGAGGGCCTTTGCACAATTAAAACTTGTGCGCCAACTGCGGCCTTACCTCGTGAAGTCTGACTTGACCATGGTGGTCCATGCTCTAGTTACCTCTAGACTGGATTACTGTAATGCTCTCTACATGGGGCTACCCTTGAAGACGGCCCGGAAATGACAACTTGTCCAACGTTTGGCAGCCAGATTAATAACTGGGGCGACTTACAGGGAGCGGTCAACCCCCTTGTTTAAGGAGCTCCACTGGCTATCGTTTATTTTCCGGTCCCAATTCAAGGTGTAGGTTATTTATTTATTTGGTAGTTTTGTATACTGGTCTTCTCACCTCCATTTGAGGGACTCGGGCCAGTTTCCAACATCAATATTACAGACCGTCATTAAAACATCATATTTCTAAATCACACGAAAACATTAAAACATTGAAACAATTAAAATGGCAAAAATACAATCATATGATTACAGTGGTCAGTCGTCATCAAAGTCATTAT